GAGTCTGCCCACCTATTCTATAGAACATCTCAGTTTATTTGCACATCTTTCAATTTTTAATTTAAATTTTTCATTTATAGGTTTCAGAACTTCAACAGTTTTTTAGTACTCCAAAACCTTTTTAGCACAAATGTCTAATAAGTTTCAACAGTCAATTCAAGAGGCATAATTGCATCTCTTCTATATACAAGTCTAAACAATGAGTATCCAAATTCTTCTACTATTATATTTACAGCTTACACCACTTTATGAAGATACTTATACCACTGATTTTGTTTTTTGGCATATACTTTATGCAGCACTTTAGTAATCTTTTGAACAGTTCTTTGGCTCTACTATTAGCCTCAGAGTAATAACTTGCTACAAAATTCTAAGCAACTCCCAATCATATAGTAAATTTATTCATTATATTATTCTTGAATTCAGTGCCTCTATCAAACACTAACTTTGCAAAACAACTATGCTGGGTGATTACATCATTCCAAATAAATCGAGCAATGCTCTTTGCATTTTTTTTTTTAAGTGTATAAGCTTTTACAAATCTTGTTAGATTATCAATTGCTACTATGATATACTCGTGTCCTGCATTGGTGCAATATATTAGCCTTATACAATCAACAAACAATTTGTAGAAGATCCAACTTGTTGCTACAACATGAATTGGCTCTTTTGGGACTTTGAGATTACATTTTTGACAAATCAAGCATGTTATTATATGATCTCTAACATTCTTATACAAGTTACCAGATGCCCACTCATAATTCATTAAAATTTTCTAAACAATAATATTAATCCTATGATGTCCTCACATTGTTTAGTCAGCATGATGAAAATTTGCTTTATTGGCCAATAACAAAAACTCTAAATGGCTAAATTTAAAAGAATTAGCTAATATTATTTCTAAATACTTGTATCTTTGATATTTTTATAGTATTTCATAAAATTATCTTGTTTATGTAAAATTTGAAATATTATTCAAAAGAAGTATTATTTTTATTAGTTATTACTCTTTAAAAGTCAAAATATACAGTATATAATATTGTTATCATATTGCATCTGACATTTCAGAGTTGTTCTAATGAATGTTGATAGAACACTTGATCCCACTTGTTTCTGAACTTTTTGTTGCATAGTTTTCGAAGAGCCCTTATATCTAGCAAGGGGTATACAAATAGATGATGAGTTGCATAGTGGATGGATAGAATGAAATTGTCAACCGAACGACTCACATAATCATGTGATCAATTGGAGTCGAGGTATGAATTAAAATTTGGGCAGAAAATGCAAGATCGGGTACGATAGGTCCAGAGTCATCAGATTTTAGTAGCATCTAAAATAGTGCTATTAGTGATCAAAATAGCTAGTGGCATTGTTAGGTGCTAAGATGCAATTTTTGCAATTTTTGCATTAAACATGAGACTATTGTTTTTGTTCTTCAATTGATGAACAATTATGATTTGTAATAATAGCAATAGTAAAGAATAAATTAAATAAGTCTTCTAGAGTCAAACAAACATTTTTTTTTAAAAAAAATGCCATAAATTACTTTACTTTTAGATAGATACCCTATATACAAGGATGATTTTTATGAAAGCGAAAGAAAAATTTATTGTTCCTTCTGTAAATATCAAGTAGATCACCAAAAAAAATATAATTTAAACTTACATTTAAAAACTAATAAACATGAAAGGCAAAAAAAAATTGCCAAATTAAGTGAAATCAATAAAATTGTATCAACCCGAAATTTAACTCTCAAATAACTGATAAGCAAGAAATAAATATCGATATTATTAAAGCTTTTACTAAAGCAGATGTTTCTTTAGAAAAAATTAAAAAACTAAAGCCATTTTTTCAAAAACATTGTATAAATAGTATACTTACTATTTTTACTTTAAAATTTATAAATATTAAATATACTAATAATTTAGTTTATTAGGTAGTTCAGTCATAGGTGCTAGTCAACTTCGTAAATGATATCTTCCTCTTGTTTATGATATCGAATTAGAAAAATTATATATTTTACTTCAAGACAAAAAATTTGCATTACAGTAGATGAAATGACAGACAAATGTGGAAGAAGTGTCATTAATATACTTTTTAGTTTTGGAAAATTGACGAAACTCATAAAAACAGAATTTTTACCGAAGTTAATTCAACTACTATATCGCAATTAGTTATCTCTACAATTTCAAATTATTGCTTGTTATTTATAATATTATATTATATATTAGTAATAATGAAAAAATCGTTTACAAATATTTTGTCACCATTAATTCCACGAATGCAACATAACACTTACTTTGCGCATATTTATAATTTGGTTGAAAACACTTGGCTTGAATATGAAAATTTTCAAATTATAGATAATATTGTTACTGCTATTAAATCAACTTTTGTTTATTCATCTTCTAGAAAAAGGTGATGGTTAAACCATCTTTCCTTATATGCATTAGATGATAAAAATATTCAATTAACATTATCTCTGTGCCCTGTAAATACTCGTTGGTTTCTTGGTTCCGATTTATTATTTGGATGAAGCCGTATCTAAAATATTTTATTACATTTTACCAAAAAGAAAAGGATCTTTCTGACCTTTCAAAAGCTATTATTAAGCTTGCTAACTGGTTTTCTAAACCAGATATAGTTATTCAAGTTGAATTAATTATTATGTTCTTACATTTAATGGAAAACAGTACGTATATATAATTATATAATTGACAAATTAAAAATTTATATGTATATGTATATATTTGATATCGATATATAAATTTTTTTTTTTTTAGATTAGTACATGATTTAGATTTCTTTCAAACTAGAAATATCCCGATCGCACCAAAGTTTACTCACGAATCAGAATGCATGAAATGCTTCAAAATGGAATTACTACTCCGCCATTCTCAAGAGAAATGATGATTTATATAGGCCAAAAACAATTGAATATCAATTACTATAAAAGAATTTTTGGGGAAGCATTTAACTTGACATATAAAAAATTTGTAAAACATACCCAACAACATAATGCACTACCACTTTTTAAAAGTATTCAATGTTTTAATCCCTGATATATTTGTGAAGATGCCTTACGGCATCAATTTATACTGATATTTTTGAATTTAAAAATCCATCCAATCAATTAATTGATGAATGGAATATATATTGCAATATGACAGAAAATTTTGAGCTTAATACCGGGTTTGATTTAGAAAAATATTGGAAGGATAAATCATATACTTTACCTATCCTTTCAAAAATTTCTCTTGTTTATATTTGGGTTCCCATTTCGGGAGTAGATGCTGAACATTCATTTTCGAATTACAAGAATAAATTAGATGATAGGCAAAGAGCTCTCACTGAAAAAAATATAGCTAGATTAAACTTTTTGTATTTCAATGAACATGATTTTAATGATGATATGGATGAATAGTTGTTAGGATATATAAAATATAGATTTATAATAAAAAATTTTTTTTTTGCTATTTTGCTAATTTTACTAGCGAATTTTGCTAGCTATTTTTGCTTTTACCGGCTGGTGGCCCTGGATAGGTACCTTGATCATTGAGTGCATGAATATGACGATTAGGTTGGGAACAATGAAAAGTTAAATTAATTAATAACAAAGAAATAGTTAAATGGTAATACAAAGTATGTAATTGTTTGAATCGCATAAAATAGCGAAATGTAAATAAAGAATTAACCAGTCTTTCGACTGGGAATTATTGAGTAATAAACGAATAGTTAAAGTAAATACCTTCGTGCGAAATAGTGTACTGTGTGTCGTCGTTAAAGGAGGAGTGTGTGTCTCTAGTGCCAAGCGAGACCAGTAATCTAAATAAACCGTCTGAGTTAGATAGCAGTCACTACGGTGATTGCTTAACTCTTTGACACTTTTATACAAAATTTAAGCGTCCAAAAACCATTTTAAACAATTCATGGGCTTTAATTATAAAAACTTTCGATATTACCACTTAAATTTTCTATTGTAAATTAATATAAAAAATCGTGTAACAATATATTGTCAATTAAATAATTATCCAATCAAAATGAATTTTCATTTTGCTTGTTTAATCTGAGAATAAAGAATAAATTCTATATTAAAATAGAACTTCAATTACTAACTCCCTTACAAAATAACTAAATAAACTATTAAACTATAATAAATAAATAAAAAATCTAAAGGGTTTTTTTATGAACCTGAAATATTTCACATTCCTCCACTGAGAACTTTGACATATCATTACTATCGTATGTTTTTATATTCCTAATTGGATTATAATTAGTACTTGAACAATAACATCCGCCGTAATTAAAATCATTAACTAAAAAAAGACCACCAAGAAAACATGGACCATGACTATAACAGTTGTAAATTGCATTTGAACCCTTCACACGGCTCAAAATAGAATTTTGGATAGTAGCATTTTTCAATGAAAAAATAAGGCATTCATTGCAAGGCTTATATACATAATCAGAAATTAAATTTGGTCTTTCCCAACCAATAGGATTATAACCACCAAGAATTTCATCTGTTCCTTTGACCTTTACAACCAAAACAAGGTTTATTTGCTTGTTGCATAATTTCCAAAATGTATTTGCAGTAAAACCGTCTCTACTTCCGCGAAAGAGTAATTTAAAGCTATATGGATTATTTAGTGTAGAATATGTATAATATGTATCTGCTCTTTTATCAATCCATGAGGCAATTTCAGCTTTATGTTCTTCGCTAATGATTGTTGAAAATTGTTCAATTCTAATTTCATCGATTAATTTTGGAATAAATTTTTCTGCATATGATTCTAGGTAATACTTGAAATGATACAAAGCAAAACAAATCAAGTCAGAAATTTTTATTTTGAGGAGCCATGTAAGAAAAAAAAAATCTTACCACAAATGCGGCACTATGTGGTGAAACTAAATTATGCGCTAATTCATGACAAAATGTCATGAACCAAGACATCATGGTAGTACTAGGAGAACGATTACGTTTTATATAATATGCAAAGTTAAAAAACAGGGTGCTGCTACGATTGAAGGCAATTGTCGATGAATTGACATCATAAAATATGTGAATTTTGTCATTTTGAAGATTGAAAATTCTTGCAACTCTGATAAGAACATCAATGAAACATTTTAATTGTTTTTCCATAGTAGCATTTAGAATATTATAAGGATTCAAACTCTCTGGAATGTGAAATTCAATTGAATTCAAAGTTTTGACATATTTTAACGGAGATTCTATATCCAAATAAATAAATAAATTACTGTAATTAATGAAAAATAAAAACTACTTTATAAATGTACGCGTTACGATACCATAATGACTCTCAGGTACTGTGGTTTCAATCACAGGGCTATTATCTCGTGGGACATGCTTTTGACCATTTGACTTGCAAGAATTAATCCCGTTAAATAACTTTTTCTCTAATTCATCATAGGATATATTCGTAGGCACTGGTACTGCTACAGGCGATAATGTTTTTCCTGACACAGGTAGTGATGGTGCAGCAGCAGTGATTTTTACCTTTTCAGTAGGATAACCAAGTCGTCGCAGATTTTCTAGCGAAGAAGTCAAATAAGTGAACAAATTTATACGATTTTGTCTATTAGGTTTCTCGTGAATATGCTTAGTTAAAGAAGTTGCGATGTCCGCGTAATTAATATCATTATTATCATTAGTAATATAAAGAATAAATGAATTCTCATTTTGCGAAATGCAAGCGGAGGCTTGGGCAGTTTTTATCTGATTCTGATGCGTCGTAATAAGCTTATAATTCATATCTATTCGATCAACTACTCTAACTTTTAATCTTTGTATCCACGTTTCATCAACTCTAAATTTACCATTTATAATACTAGAGTAATACCCGGGTATACGCTCCATAATTCTTTGTTTCACAGCACTAGAAATACTCGAATCCTTCTTTATTCCTATACGCTGAGGTTCTTCTGTAACGCTAGCATCAAGGGATTGACATCCCAAATCCTTGACAAAAAAAAAATAGTTATGGTTTCATGAATTATGTATGATAAAAAATAACGTATTTTTGTAAGATTGAAGAGTACAAACTTGATAAAATAATTCCAATTTATCGTCGAATGGGCAGGTAAACGGATTAAACATGTCTTTATACTTATCATTATCATTTATAAAAATATTGCTAGCACTGGCTAAATAATAAATATCGGGGGACTTATCATGCTTTTTTACGCCCATCAAAATTGGATATCGTCTCATTTTATTAAGTGTTTCATAATTGATAGATCCATAATTGTTCGCAATGGTTTGTAGGATAGCAATGTATTGACTCTTATCATTCAGGTTTGACCAAAATTTCTGAGATGACCTAGTGAGACATTCAGCTAAATCCGACGCAGATGGTTCTCGTTTTACGCCGCAACTTTCAAGAAACTTATTCGCATCGTAACCAAAGTCAACACATGGAAACAAATCTGCATAACTAAATAGATGGAAGTGTTCAAATATGAAAATAAGTATAAAATGAACCGAATATAAAAGTATTTACGTACATTTCTTTCGAGGATTTGAAAAGGCAATCTTTCGATTTATAATAAATAGTTCTATATGGTGAAACTTCATCTTGGACGGGTATGAATGCAATATTCTGAAGTCTTGTCCAATTAGAACTGAGAAAGTAACCACTACGCGTTGCCAAGTATCCAAAGATTCTTTCCGCATCATCTGTATTTCTTGGAGGATTTTGTTCCAATTTATTTAACAGCAACAGGTTATCAGGGTGTTGTTTGACTCCCAATTGGCCAGCCCAAAGGCGCCAATCTTGATGTAAAACATTAAACCCCATCTTTGCACAATCAGGAATTGAATAACATTCTGATGGTTTTGCGTAAACGTTAGAGTTAGCGCATGGTAAAAATTTTTCTTGGACTAAACTTGGTTTGTATGCTATCGAATATTTCTTATTAAAATTGTTGACAAAATATTTAAGTGCCTTTCCGCGAAGACTGAAAGATTTATCTGTCATAAGTTTCATAATAGTTTGAAAAGATGGATATTCTTGCAGTCCAAGCATATTGATAAATTTGGCTAAAAATTTATGCAGATTTAGTGTAAGACAAATATTACAAATGAGATAATTTTTTTGTTCATATTGTACCTTCTTCCGAATGTTTGTTCCAATCCCCTTCCCACTGAATTACTGGCAACTCGAGATCTCTATTTTTATCACTTGGTACGTACAATTCTCTTGCCAGATATCTTCGAGCATTAATCTCTAACTTATTATTGCCAGCAGACTCTTTTATCCAAACTGGAGCTTTTTTTAATTTATCTATATTAGTGTCATTAAGATCCCCCGCACGCTTTGTGAAGTATTCTAAAAGTTTCATATGATTCAAATTTTTGCTATTAACAAGTCGAGCGAAAACACGTTCCAATTCTACGTGCTATACTCCATACACAGGAATTAAAAATAAAGCTTCATTTATAATTGTTTAAATAAAAGAACGAGTAAGCTTTATTATATTTCTTACCTTATGTATTCCCAACATTGTGAAAAATTCTTCATTAACGTTTATGCTAACATTGGGCAAGTCTGAAAATAACGTCTCATCAGGAAAATAGGATTCTTTAGGTTTTTTCATACCAAATTGAGTTGGAATACATTCGATTTCAGACAGTAATTGGCATATAGTAGATCGATCTTTCATTTCTAAACTTTTGAAGCCTTGTGAAAGGACATTTATAAATTTCTCTGCAAAAACTGGATCATATTTCAGGTTGTGTTTTTTAATAATGTACTGAGTCCATGTAACCAAAGTGAGCTCAGTCCAGCTTTAAAATAATAAGATGAATGATGAGAATAGTGATATCAAGAGATTGTAACACTTGGAAGCAAATGATATTATGAAAATTATGCTATACTTGAACGATTTTTGTAATTCTCTACCATCGAAATATTTACTAATAGCATACGGTAATACTTCTGGTGGGATGTCCAATCCTGGTCTAATGACTTCTGGATTTTGGAAATAACGAATAACTTTCAGACAAACGTTCTTGTTTTCAATTCGTACAACGGCTAGCTGCATTAGTTTGTCATAAACTGATTTCGGAAAATTTTGTTGTCTCCAACGGAATATTATCCACCAATTCATCAGAGCTACCATTTCATTCTGACTCATCTCACACTGATTCCGAGTTCGATTTTTCAATTCCTCAAATACGTCACTTATAGAAGCCTTTTCAATGATTTTCAAGATAGTATTTGCTCTTTTAAAATATTCTGCACATTGATCTTCTATGACTTTTGGAACGGCCGGAACAGTTTTAATAAACGTGGCCATCTCTGGATTAAGTAACCGTACAACCTTGATGGCTTTGACACCATGAGTAGACAAAATAGACAATGGAGATGAACAACATTTGTAAAATTGGGTCTCTATTATGTTTCCTACTTTAATATCTGGGGTGCTTGAATTGAAGGTAAAATGTTTGAGAGCATGTGCTGAACGTTTTTTGAGCATCACTTTATCATTATTGGATTCAACTTGGTACAATTGTGAGATTTGATTCATCTCATCTTCATATAGCAGGCGGCATAATGTTCCTGCTAAGCACAGCATTTCTGTGTTGTATATGGTAAGAGTTTTTTGAGCCAAGTCAATCGATTCACGCTCGACCTATATAGAGGGATAGTTATAATAACTTTTGTAACATATATAAATGAAAATAGCAATTTTACGTACTGTTGGTATAACTCGAGCTGCTAAATTCACAGAATAACCAGTTGTTTGATGTGTTCTAAAACCAATAAAGATTCTTCCTTGTTCAGGAAATGGTAGCAAGTCTTTGAAAATATCAAAAGATTCATCTGTACTGTTATAATTGAATGCACAAGAAAAATCGTCGTCGATATTGGTATGTTTATTTTTTGTAGTACTCTTTATAGTAAGAATGAAAATCAACACAGTTTCATAATTTTAGAATTCATGATCGTCGTATAATAACAAAATATTATAAACAAACACTTTACCAAACGAGAGATTAATTTAGACAAAGGTTTTTTATCCACCACATCAGAAAATTCCAAGTCTTTGTATCCAGGAAGAATAATTTGAATAGTAGTTTGACCTGGTGGTTTTTTCTTTGTTAATCTCTCCATTTCTGATGAAAAATTATCATCGATCTGAGCTTTTAGATTTCCGCTAGCGATTTGAAAGCATACAGTCGCACTTTTTTTTAGGCAGTTGCTGAGTGATACTGTTCCATGGGGAATAACAGTCTTATAGGCATCAAATTTAACAGTTTGCACATTGACTGATTCAAGCTTAAACATTTTTTTTGGAGACTCGCTATTTATGTCAGATCTAATATTAATTGGTCGAGGGGGATTAACTTCTTTCGAGATACGAATCACGCGATCCTCATTAAAATATACCGAGATTTTGCGAAGATTGGCTGTAAACCCCTACAATTATATAAGATGATGTACTATAAAAATTATGTTCGTTATAATCATTAAGACTAAAAATAGTACCAATGCAGTTGCCAGAAAACGACCGAGTTCGTCCAAGTCAGGAAACTAAATAAATGAATTAAATTAGACACAATTCAATTTTTTTATAAAATTAGAGATGTTTGTTGATACCTTCAAATGCTCTCTCATATCTAATAAAAAGGTGGTCCACTTGGTGTCGCTGTTATCGATGGGGCCATGATTTACAAGTAACTGGTCACCTTTCCAATGAAATGCCATACCAAGCTTTCCGGAAGATACGCTGCGTAATAACAAAATGATAATATAAATGACGCCATACGCTCAATAAAAATCTTTAAATACATAGCAAAGTTTACTTTTTTTTATTTTTTTCATTATTATTAAAAACTGTACAGTAGCTAAATAACCTACAATGGTTCTTCACAAATTGAGAACACTGAATAAAATCCAACACCGAAAGCACCAATCTTGTACATAGAAACAACGTTAATTACGAATGTAACACATAATAATGTATGATGCAAATATTTTTGAAAATACCTTCTGCTCATCGAGGTTTCCTTCGGCAATCTTCTTTAGTCTGTCCCAATCTTGTTGCCGGAAAACAAACCCATTATTTTTAAAGAGCATTCTCGAATGAGTCCCACCATTAGTACCCATAAATACGATTTTGGCAGCTGATGATTTTGCGTCATCTATAAATGTAGGTTTTAATATTATATAAATTATTGATTTTGCACCTAAATCGAAAATTCAAACCTGAATTCTGTAATAATTCTCTGAATACTGCAAATTCAGATGAATATCTGCAAGTTTTTTTTTTAGAATTAGTTGAAGGAACACTGTAAAAGACATTAGTAGAAAACATAAAGTTTACCTTGCTAACATTTTATCGATCAGACATCTTTGATTAACTTCAACTCGAAATTCATATTTAGGTTTTGACAACAATTTGTTCCTGAAAGCGTCAAAATTCATTTTGACATTTTCATTTAATGAAATATTTGTTAGTAGATATATATATCTCTATATCGATATACATAATGAATTCTTTGATACACATTTTTGGAGTACGTGCAACTTATTTCACTCATTTTGGAAACTGCAAGTCATTATGTTTTTTCTTAATTGAGAATGTCATGAAAATGTGACACGATAATGCGCTAAGAGATATATCATGTGAATCTATCTTGTACGTACGTATTAGTCTCTCTATATCGATATGCATAATAACATTATCTGATATTTATCGACAATATAATTTCGCAAATTTTGGAGTACGTGCAACATTAATTGAAACAAATAATTTCACTCACTTGGAGAAACTTAAAGATATGTCGTCTTTATATTTTTTTCTTAATTGAGTATGTCGTAAATAATTTTGACATGAATAATGCGCCAAAAAAGTCAGAAATTTATCATGCGAATCTATTTTGTATTATTGTTATTTTCTTTTTTTTTTATTTAGCTTAGATCAATTAAATTGAAATGATTATAGTCAAATTACAAATAGTATTTGATTAAAAAATTCCATAACGAATAGCTCAATACAAAGATGGCGTCGAAACGAAACCTACCCGAAACTAGTTTCGGAAGGGTTCTAATCCGAAACTAGTTTCGGATTTTT